TCACATACTTTGGACATGTTATCAGGAGGGACCAGTCCCTGGAGAAGGACATCATGATTGGTAAAGTAGAGGGTTATCACAAAAGATGGATTGGAAAAAGAGGAAGACCCTCAATGAGATGGACTGACACAGTGGTTGCAACAATGGGCTCCAACATAGCAATGATTGTAAGGATGGTGCAGGACCAGGCAGTGTTTCATTCTGTTGTTCATAGCGTCACTGTGAGTCAGAACTGACTTGGCAGCACCCAACAATAACAGCAACTCCAACAGAAAAGCATGTATGTACTATATGCAGTAAGTCTATTACAAATTTTATTGATAGGATATGTAGCTCACAATTTACCAATAATAAAAAAAATTATACTGTTTATTGTGAATTCCATAGAGCCAATAGACTGTCATAGACTAGTCTTGTTGAGTTTTGCCAAACTCTTGGAGCCTCAGTTAAAATACACATATACAACACATACACAATTACCCAGTTTAACAACTGGCTCACAAAATTCCTGAAAATAAAGCCATTGGCTATTGCAAGCATATATATGAGCCAACCCCAGCACACAACTAAATTGACTACTTTGTTTCTGGTGAGTTGCTTCTACCTAGGACTCAGCTTCCGTAGGCTCCTCCATTTGCACAGAGATTAGAAATCCCTTTCCAAAAGCAGTTCCTCTCCCCAGTATGCCTAGCATTTTAAGGATGGCACTTTCTAAAGATAACGATGCTTCTCCCATGGCACAGTTTCAAGGAAAAGCTTTTTGGCCTTGTCTTAACAAGTGCCTCATATGCATTGGAAAGCTGTACAATAAAAAAGGATGACAGAAGAAAAATTTATGCATTTGAATTGTGATGTTGGTGAAGAATATTGAATATACCGTGAACAGCCAAAAGAACAAACAAATCTATCTTAGAATATAACCAGAATCTTCCTTACAAGTGAGGATGGTGAGACTCCGACTCAATTACTTTGGACACATCATCAGAAAAAACCAATCACTAGAAAAGGACATCACATTTGGTAATGCAGAGGGTCAGAAAAAACAAGAGAAACCCTCAATGAGATGGGTTGACACAATAGCCACAATGGACTCAAACATACCAGTGACAATGAAAATGGTGCAGGACTGGGCAAAATTTTCTTCTGTTATACATAAGGTTGCCATGAGGTGAAGCCAACTCTACAACAACTAACAACAACAGGGAACCTAATGACTAAGGGAGAAGTTCAGACATGAGAAAGCAAATTCAGCATCCCAAAGTTTTTCAAGTCCTTCCTGTGTATCAGGCAAGATCATTTCCGGGCTTTCAGTGTCATTTAATATAGGCCAGGACTTAATGGATTTACATTCATCTACCTAGAACATTATGAGAAGCTGCACAAACTATAAATAAGCTACACAATCTAGAAACATCAAATAAATATTTGTGATGTGACAACTGTCAATAGAGTCCAATTCAAAATTTTGACTCAACTTTTGGGGTCAAACACTATTAAAACCCATTCCTACGGATGTTTTCCAGATTCTGATATAAATCATATATATTGATAAATACTTTTGGATGTGTTTTATCCCTTCCCTACTCTTTTTTCTTATCTCAACCCTTACGTAAATTTAAAATTAGTTTTTGTTTGTTTTACCAGGGAAGCAGTAATATTTGTGGGCTGAATGGAAATTGGTTAATCTTCATCCATGGCTGCCTCAGGCAAAAGAGAACTAGTTGGAATGGTTTATCAAGGGCCTAAACCTGTCACCACAGAGCTAATTTCAGTTCACAGCAACCCTACAGGATAGTTTAGAACTGCAACATAGGGTTTCCAAGGGTGTAAATCTTTATGGAAGCAGACTGCCACATCTTTCTCCTACAGAACAGCTGGTGGGTTCGAACCATTGAGCTTTTGGTTAGCAGCCAAGCGCTTAACCACTGTACCACCAGGGTTCCTTCTAAAGGACCTAGGGGCTTAGAGTTTTAACATTCCTAGAATTTCCCTACAAATCGTCATTCCAATAACCAGGATACAGATCTTTCCTAATTAATGCCAGTTTACTTAAGAAATTTGTGAAAGTTTTAAATTAAATTGGCACTGTAGCTTAGCAACCTACAGGCTCCTTCTTTGTTATTTAGCAATTGTAGCCATATGGCTGCAAACAAGAACAAATTCTTTCAACTGTTACAAAAACATCTTGTGTTCTATTCTATGCCTCAAAGCTGAAAATTTTAAGATGTAATTTGTGCTTTCTTTTGTTTTAAATTTTCCAATTTCATTCTGAATAGACATCACCTGCTACCACTTCATCTAGTATTTCTCACTCCCTTTCAAGTGGTCTAAGGCAACAGCTATCTACACCATAGTTGGTTAGCTGTTTTACTTAATGTTGCTATCAATGTGCCCTGGTGGCATAGTGGTTAAGTGCTCAGTTGCCAACCAAAAGATCAGTGGTTCAAACCCAGAAGGCACTCCATTGAGAAAGATGTGGCGGTCTGCTTCTGTAAAGATTACAAACTTGGAAACCCTATGGGGAGTTCTACTCTGTCCTATAGGGTCACTACAAGTCATAATCGACTCGACAGCAATGGGTTTTATCAATGCATGCTACTTTCTTGGCACAAAATATGATTAGGAATATTACAACCTTTTCCTCCATCTCACCCAATAACTACACTTTTAAATAACCCACATTTCCTTGAGCAACTGTTGCCTGAAATCACTCAATGATATCAATTTCTGTACTGATTAAGATCCTTCAGTTAACAGCAAGAGAACACAATCTAATGTTGCAATAAAATCAAAACACTGATGGGATATTAGGAAACTCAACTTGCAAGAACAGGAATCAGGTCAGTTCTAGGGAGCAGAGCAGAAATTTGTGCATCATCTTTAGGTTATGGCTAAAATATGATTCATTTTCAACTGCCTCCTGCGGTTCAAGAGGGAGAGAGTATATGATCGGATTAAGTTGAACCATGTACAATTGGCAGTACAAACAAAACCTCATGGAAAGACATGGGAGTTCACCAAAAGCAGCCCAGGAAAGGGAGTTGGTGTGTGTGTGTATTTGTGGTTTGTTTATATTATAGACAAACACAAATATCATTTGATACATTTATATGTATTTCTATACATTTAACTTTATAAAGTTTATAGTTATAGCTATGTGATCATACTACATAGTTAAAAATTATATTTTTCAATTAAGAAACTGCAAGATATCTTTCTATATGAGTAGACACAGAGATCCACCTTATTCTTTAGGGTGACTACATAATAATCTACTAATGTTTCATAATTTAAATAATCAATTTACTACGGACAGATATTTAAGATGTTCCCAATTTTTCACTATTATGAACAATTCTATAAAAAATGTGCTTGTGCATCTGTAGTTTTGCACTTCTGTTTTCCTGGGAGATAAATTCCTAGATTTGTAATTACTGCAAAGGGTGATTACATTTAAAATGTTGACAGGGAATACAATATTGCCTTCCAAAATGGCTTTCCATTGCACTAAGTATTTCACAGCATCAAGTCATTTAAAATTTCATAACAAAGGTTTTATGATGAGCAATCTAATTACATTTACATCTTTAAAAGGCTACCATGGAAGCAATGTGAAGAACAAATCTGAAGTGGGCAAAAGAGGACCAGGGAAACCAGCTTTTAGATGACTGGAATAGTCCAGGTGAAACAAATGTGTTTGGGGGTAGAGGAATGAGAGTTGAAAGAATTGGATGAATTCCAAAAATATTCAGCACATATATCTGCAGGACTTGGTGACACAGAGGGTGAGAAAGAGCTGGATGCCTGAGATGGCCCTATATTACAAACTCGCTGATGATAAGCAAGGTGTGCACTCTGTTGGAAGACTTTTCCACATTCTTTACATTCATGAGATCTCTCTCCAGTATGAATTCTTCTATGTAGGTTATGGTGTCCCATCTGGCTGAAGGTTTGTGCACATTCCTTACATTCATAAGGTTTCTCTCCAGAATGAGTTCTTTGATGAACGGTAAGGGATTGACGATGGCTAAAGGCTCTGCCACACGTACTGCATTCATAAGGTTTCTCTCCAGTATGGCATCTTTGATGACAAATAAGGGATGACATTGTTCTGAATGTCTTCCTACATTGAATACATTCATAGGGCCTTTGACCAGTATGAAGTCTCCAATGCTGAGTGCGGGATGAGCTATCACTGAAAGCTTTTCCACATTCAGTACATTTATAGGGTTTCTCTCCAGTATGAACTCTCTGATGTTGAATAAGGCGGGCAGTCTGACTGAAGGCTTTACCACATTGCTTACACTCGTAAGGTTTTTCTCCAGTATGAATTTTGTGATGTTGGGCAAGGTGTGCCCTCTGGTTGAAAGCTTTACCACATTCCTTACATTCAAAAGGTTTCTCTCCAGTATGAATTCTCTGATGAGTAGCAAGCTGTGAACCGATGCTAAAAGCTTTTCCACACTCCTTACACTCATAAGGTTTTTCACCAGTATGAATTCTCAAATGACTAGCAAGGTGTATACTCTGCCTAAAAGCTTTCCCACATTCCTTACATTCATACGGTTTCTCTCCAGAATGTACTCTTTGATGCTGAGTGAGTGATGCATGATGGCTAAAGGCTTTCCCACAAACATCACATTCATAAGGTTTCTCTCCTGTGTGAATTCTCTGATGGACAGTAAGGGATGAGCCATAGCTGAAGGTTTTTCCACACACATTACATCTGTAGGGTTTCTCTCCAGTATGAATTCTCCTATGCTGAATAAGTCCTATGTGATCACTAAAGGCTTTCCCACAATCAATGCAATCAAAGGGTTTCTCTCCAGTATGATAATACCTCCAGTGACGAATAAGGGATGTGTTCTGCCTGAAGGCTTTTCCACATTCAATACATTCATAGGGTCTTTTGCTGGTGTGACACTTCTGATGTCGAGCAAAAGATGAGCCATCGCTGAAGGCTTTCCCACATTCCCTACATTCATAGGGCTTCTCTCCAGTATGAATCCTCTGATGCTGAGCAAGGTGTGCTGGCTGGCTAAAGGCTTTTCTACATTCCTTACATTTATATGGTTTTTCTCCAGTATGAATTCTTTGATGTTGGATAAGGTGTACATTTTGGCTGAAGGCTTTCCTACATTCCTTACATTCAAAGAGTTTTTCTCCAGTATGTATTCTCTGATGTTGAGCAAGGTGTTGACTCTGGTTGAAGGCTTTTCCGCATTCTTTACACTCATATGGTTTTTCACCAGTGTGAATTCGCTGATGAACACTAAGGGAAGAGCTCTGAGTGAAGGTTTTCTCACATTCATTACATTTAAAAAGTTTTTTTGCTGTATAGATTCCCTTGTGTTGTTTCATTATCCTTGAATTTTTGGTAAAGCTTTTCTTATCTGACTTGTGATTATGAACATGCTCCTCTATATTGTTTAGATGGACACATTTCCCAGATTTGTTATATTTGTAGTCTATTTTCTTAGTGAGGATTTCTTCATGAGTGTTTGCTTCTCGCCTGATACCTGTTTCTTGACTTACCATCTGCCCCTCTAAAAGATCTTCACATTTCCAATCTTCTCTGAAAGTGGAGCACTCAAGGCCATAGTTTGTAATTCTCTTCAATAACGCTTCATTATACATGGCCTGCTTCAGAGATAATTCTTGTGTCTCATATATAGATTCCCAATCTGAAAGATAACAAAAAAGCAAATACTTCCTTTATCATGGGCTACAACAAAGAAAGAATTTAAAGTGAAAACAGGTAATTCAAAAATACTTAAAACAATTAATCCCACAAAATCTATTATGTACAGGCATGTAAACTTAAAAAATTGCAGAGACCCCAGAAAATGTGGTTAAGAAATTCATTTAAATGTAATCAAATAAGTATCAGGATAACGTGGGGGAAGCTGTCTGCAATGGTAATGATATTTATGCCTATATTAACATAAAAGCTATAAATCAAGCTCTCTTACTCTAATTTCTCTAACTTCTAATTGGTTTGCAGATACAGCTATGTTAATTTTGTTCAAATACCAATATTATCACATCACTGTTATTGTTCAAAATCTAGAGATCTCCAGCAATCACAAAAACCTTATCCTTTGTGACTTCCTTTGGGGTTTAAGTGAAATCTTAGCATTATTTTTTTCATAATCAGAAAACGGTGTTCTTATAACCCCTCTATGTCTCATTCTATGAGAACTCTCCAATTCTCCTAGATTCCTGAACACCAGGCTGTATATATATTTTTTATTTATTGTTGTAGTTTAAATGACGTTTACATTTCAAGTTAGTCTCCCATAAAAAATTTATAAATACATTGTAATCTGACCCTAATTGCTCTCCCCATACAGTGACAGCACACTCCTCCTTTCCACCCGATTCT